TTATCTGACCCTACTGAATGGCTCAGAATATGATGAGCTATGGCAAAAGTTCTGGCCAACCACTGATGACACATTTGGGTCATTGTGACATTGATGAAGAATTTTCAGAGTAATCGGCGCTTCGTCAATTTTAACTTCATAAAAAAATGTTTGCTCTCCATAATGTATTTAATTTGTAATTACATAATGAGTTTCAGAATTAAGATTTGAAATAGCTGGGGGGATAAAGAAAAGGATGATTTCTGAAAGCTAATCATTAAGTAGAAATCGCACTCTGGAAGCCCATTTTTAAAATGGATAAAAGGAGACAGGGGACAGCGTGAGAACTAATTGCTGGTCGGCTGTATTTTCCGCTTACTTCTGTAAAGGACTGTACACGCTCTGCATTCTTTCAGTGCACATAAGCATGCGGGAGGGATTTACAGCACCCATGCAGAATGGACTACTAGGGGTGGGTGAGAGTTAAGTGTCACGTGCCCCAAGGCTCCCTCTGAGTCATAGGCACTGAAACCTGAGTGCTGTCACACCCCTTCCCTGAAGAGGTCCTGGGACTGGCGTTTCCTGCCTGCAGAGCACAGAAGCAGCTTCACAGAGCACAGCTCCCGTATGCTGTTACCACATGGAACTGGGGTGAAACCGTGCTCCCTAATTTTATACATTTGATAACATTTGGGAAACAGGACGCAGGTGGTCAAAATGAAAGCTCTCATCTTTGTAGCTGCTGGAGCCATGCTTCTGTCACCCACATTCTGTCAAAGCGGTAAGCCCTTTTCTTATGGTGTGTGTGTGGGGGGTGGGGGTGGGGTGAGGGGTGTCCTGGTCTCTACAATTAATTCAATAGTGAATTTTCTTTGTGAGAAGTTTTTGATTTTCTAAGCATTTCCTCTGATTCAGCAAAGATAGCACTTTAAAAAAAATCCTATGTTTCTACTTTCTGGTGAGGCATAAAGGGGGAAAAAAGAATATTCTCAGAGATCAAGTGGTCTGCTTTCAATAATCAACAAGGCCAATAAATTACTGTTTCTTAACAATATACCATTTTTTACTTTCAGTGGTATCAGAGAGTTATAGTTTTCCCTGCCCTCATATATGATTTTTAAATTTTAGAAATGAAATTTCCCGAATACTATTACTTAACTCTTCATGTTTTTCTGTTTTATTCAACACCAGTTCAGGGTACATCTGCATCTACAACTCCTACCATTAGGTCACAATATAGTCAACATTGTTAGGAACAGGAGAGCTGGGCAGAGAAACAACAACAAGAGGGGGAAAACCCAAAATTAAATAAAAACTCCAGACCTCTATTAAGAAATATTGCTAACATTCACAGCTGGAATCACTGAGGTGGTTGTAGGAGAACCCTAAGAGAATTAGTGGATGGTAGCACATGTGGGGTTTATGAATAGGATTAAGTGAATGCTCTTTCTAGGAGTGGATGAACCAAAATGCAGCGGAATCATAAAAGAAATGAGGCTTGTGGAGGTTCCTTCAAGATGCTGGTGGGGTTTGGAGGAAGTGAAAAGGGGGGAAGAATTCAAATGTGACAAAGTAAAAGGCAGTGAGTTGACTTTCTTCAGTTGGGTGGGGGAGAAACGAGACGTGACTCAAGTCCACTCCCTTTGGACCAGTGCCTCTTTCAGGCCTTTTCCTGGGTTGGCAAACATTTTAGAATCATTTTGTTAAATGGAAACCTGTATAAAGAATTGAGCAAATTAAAAAAATAAAATTTGGCCCTGGCTGAGTAGCTCAGTTGGTTAGAACGTCCTCCCAATATGTCAAGGTTGCGGGTTCGATCCCCAGTCGGGGCACGTGCAAGAATCAACCAATGAATACATCAACAAGTGGAATAAACAGATCAATCTCTTTCCCTCTTTCTCTCTAAAATCAATTAAAATTTGTTTTTACAGTGAGTACTGTTCTTAAGGAAAACCACATAAGACTTGCTCAAGCTGAATCAGATCAGCTGACATTCTCGTGGAAAATGGAATCCAGACTTTCAGAGTCAGTGTTGAGCATGTTTTTGGCGTGATGTCTTGCTCAATCACAGGAATTTTCTGAAAACTGACAAACACTTGGTTCCAAAAGCTCTCTTATCAGATCCCGAAGGCAAACAACCCGTAGGACATATTCTTCAGCCACCATTTACCAGCTTCACGCTTATCTGGGAAGGCACTTCTATTTGGGGGATTGTCAGGTACAGAAATTTTCTGAAATGCAAGCTGAGCAAAAGGGTTTGTGTGACTAAACTCAAGTGTCACACCACGTGCCTCAACCTGCCTCACAGTTCACCTCTCAACAGGCACAAACCTCTGCCACTTCTCAGATTTTTCTTTCTTTTCTTTAATCTACTCTCCCCTAAATAGCACCCGAGCACCTCTCTGCCCCTGTATGTTCAGAAAAAATTCTCCCTTTTTGTGACACACTGAATTAATTCCGTTTGTGCAATCTCAGGAGTATGAGGAAGGCTTCAATTTCACCTGGGGCGAATGGTAGAGGTGAAATCAGGATGAGAACCAGGTTACTGAACACTAACCTCAAGTATTCAACACAGGAATTCAGAGGTCATGTGAAAAGGAACTGGCAGAGAAATAGCATTTTAAAATTGGCAAGTATGAAGTTTAAATTCAGCATAAAAGTTTGCCTCAGGTAACAAATTTGAGAGAATCTACTTTCTATCCATGTCAAAGATTAATTTATGGAAAACTTCTTTAATGATAAACAGGTCTGAGTATTGAGGTTTATTCTGTTTTTGAAACTGCACTTTCAAGAATTAGGATTAGTAATATCAACAGGACACGTAATGCCAAATATTTATAGTATGTGGTCGTGTTTTTATGCTTTTTTCCCCCCCATTTCCAACTTCTCAGATCATCATACCGATTTCATCTTCTGATTTTTCTTCCTTTGTCGCCTGTCCCCTTAAAAATCTGACATTTGAATGTTTTTTTTTTCTTCTCACATCTCTCACTAGGCTGTTCAGTCACTCCTACTAAATTAAACCACAGCCTCTATGCGGACTACCTATCATTTGGATTTTTGAAATGTAGGACTCCACCCCTAAGGCTTTCTGCCTGTCCTAGGACAGTTTACACTCTAATATCCCAGCAGCAACCCAAACTCAGGAATACTCAACACCGAGATCTTCGCTTCTCTTTGTGTTCTCCCCTTTCCTCTGGAGCATCCTCCTCCTCCACCACGTCATTTTTGCCTCCTGCCTCTCCCGCACCGCCTCCGTACCCAATAGATGCCAAGTCCCATTGAGTCTCCATCACAGTCTCGTGTGTTCATCTTCCCCTGTCCACTGCCATTGCTCTAGTCCTGTAACTCACCATCCTGAGGTTAAATGATTACACTAGACTCTGAAACTGCCCTCCTTGCTTCCAATTTCTTATCATTTTCAGTTCTTCTCCACACTGTCACCAAGGTCATCTCAAACACAAGTAAAATCATGGTTATGTTAGTTTCCTATTGCTTCTATAACAACTCATCATAAATCAGTGGTTTAAATAAAACATTTATTATCTTATATTTCTGGAGGTCACAAGTCCTAAAGTCAAGTTGTTCATTCTGAAGGCTCTAGAAGAGAATCTGTTTTCTTGCCTTTTTCTAGAAGCTGCTTGCATTCCTCGGTTCATGATTCCTTCCATCTTCAAAGCCAGAAGCATAGTGTCTTCAAATATCTCGCTCTGACTTTGACCCTCTTGCCTCCTTATTTTAAGGACTCTTATGATTACACTAGTGGCCCGGTGCATGAAATTCGTGCATGGAGTGGGGGGGTCCCTCAGCCCAGCCTGCACCCTCTCCAACCAGGGACTCCTTGGGGGATGTCCGACTGCCGGGTTAGGCCTGATCCCTGTTCGGGCCTAAACTGGCAGTCGGACATCCCTCTCGCAATCTGGGACTGCTGGCTCCTAACCGCTCACCTGCCTGCCTGCCTGATTGCCCCTAACTGCCTCTGCCTGCCTGCCTGATTGCCCCTAACCTCTCTGCCTGCCTGCGTGATTGCCCCTAACTGTCCTCCCCTGCTGGCCTAATCTTGCCCCTAACTGCTCTCCCTGCCGGCCTGATCTTGCCCCCAACTGCCCTCCCCTGCCAGCCTGATGGCCCCTAACTGCCTCTGCCTCAGCCCCCACCACCATGGCTTTGTCCAGAAGGAAGTCGGATGTCCAGAAGATGGCCGGTCGACCAGGTCTAATTAGCATATTACCCTTTTATTAGTATAGATTGGGCCACCCGGACAATTCAGGATACCTCCCCATCTCAAGATCCTTAATCACACCTGCAGTCCCTTTTGCCATGTGAAGTAACACATTCACAGGCTCCAGGCATCAGCAGGTGGAATCTTTGGGGTGCCACTATGCTGTCTACTACAATGGTCAGCCCTCTGTTCATAATTTTTTTATGTGTACAATTCCAGCATCTATCAATGGGCACACGATTCCTTAGGACAGTTTAGGGGCCCTTCAGAGATTTGGCTGTAACCTAATCTTTCAACTTCATCTCTCAGATGAACTTTATTAGTATAAGACAGTGCATTTTTGTATAACCTTTCTCACTTGTCTGAGAGTTGAAGACAGGGAGAGAGTTTATTTAAAACTTTATGCAGTAAAATAGGCAATAAACATTTGCTGAATTAACTTATCTGACATTCCTAGATCCCATGACAGCCCATACTATGCCTCTGCCCATTCATAATCTATAGAAGCTTATGCCTCTATTAAATTCCATCTCTTTATGAACCTTGCTTATCTTTGTTTACATTCATCTTTTCATTGACATTTTTACTCAAACAACTGTCAACTACTGTCTAAATGCTTATACAGTTTATAATTATATGACATTGCTCTATAATGGTCTGATGTGCTATTTTGTTTCCTCTAAGAGTATTATAAATTCCTTACATCCACTTTTTGCTCCCGCATTGGCTAGCATGGTGCTAGGCATATGATAAACCTTTGATTGCCTGATCTACAGTGATTTTTTAAAAATAAAAATGACCTGTCTGGCTCAGTGTTTGAGTGTTGGCCTATGTATCAGGGGGTCACAGTTCAATTCCCAGTCAGGGCACATGCCCGGGTTGCAGGCTTGGTCTCCTTTTGGGGTGTGCAGGAGGCAGCTAATCAATGATTCTCTCTCATCATTGATGTTTCTGTCTCTATCACTCCCTTCCTTTCTGAAATCAATAAAAATATATTTAAATAAAAAATATAAATGACCCTACACACAGTGTATTTTATGTCTTCTGAACCACAGATATAGCTCAGCAAAATATCATAAGTTAATACTTCTTTTCAATTACAGGTATGGAAAATGATACAGACGACTTGGCAGAGCCAACATTATCCATTAGGACCTTTCGTGGAGCTCCCACAAGTTTTTTTGAAGAGATCCCCCTTTCTGCTATAGACGGCTGGACAGGAAGCACAACTGTAAAAATAAAGTGCCCTGAAGAAAGTGTTTCAAATCTCCATGTGAATAATGCCACCATGGGGTATCTGAGCAGCTCCCTAAGTACCAAACTGATACCTGCCATCTACATCCTGGTGTTTGCAGTGGGTGTGCCGGCCAACGCTGTGACCTTGTGGATGCTCTTCTTCAGGACCAGATCCATCTGTACGACCATCTTCTATATCAACCTGGCCACTGCAGACTTCCTTTTCTGTGCCACACTGCCCTTTAAAATAGCTTACCATCTCAATGGAAACAACTGGGTCTTTGGAGAGGTCATGTGCCGGGCCACCACAGTCATCTTTTATGGCAACATGTACTGCTCCATTCTGATCCTCGCCTGCATCAGCATCAGCCGCTACCTAGCCATTGTCCATCCTTTTACTTACCGGGGGCTGCCCAGGCGCACCTATGCCTTGATCACATGTGGACTGGTGTGGGCAACAGTGTTCTTGTACATGCTGCCATTTTTCATTCTGAAGCAAGAGTATTATCTTGTCCACAGGGACATCACCACCTGCCATGATGTCCACAACGCATGCGAGTCTTCATCTCTCTTCCAACTCTACTACTTCATCTCCTTGGCATTCTTTGGATTCTTAATTCCATTTGTGGTCATTATCTACTGCTACACAGTCATCATTCGGACGCTTAATGCATATGACCATAGGTGGTTGTGGTATGTTAAGACGAGTCTCCTCATTCTTGTGATTTTTACCATTTGCTTTGCTCCCAGCAATATTATACTTATTATTCATCATGCCAACTACTACTACAACACCGACAGCTTATACTTTATCTATCTCATAGCTTTGTGCCTTGGTAGTCTGAATAGTTGCTTAGATCCATTCCTTTATTTTCTCATGTCAAAAATCACAGATAACTCCACAGCTTATCTTACAATAGTGAAATCACCTTAGAGAACAATGGAAGCTATCTGTGAAAACACACATGCTTGGGACCACATGTGTGTAAGTGCAAGGAGCTCCATTCTCTAGCTCCCTTTTGAAGCTCCTGAGAGATAGTGCTTCAAAAACAACACTACCAGTATTTTAAGAACATCAATGTAGGAGAAAAGGTATCACCACTCTCTTTATGGCAGTGGATACATTTACCTGACTGGTACTTTAAGCTCTTTATAGCTCTATCTTCCCTCCTTCTATGAGCTTTCTACTCTAGATGAATTGAAGGAGAATGGGACAAGGGACAATGATACAGCATGGAGAGAAGCTAATATCTCAGTTTTTGGTACCTGGTGTCATTTTTTATTCCTCTGCCTTCTTCCAATTGCATGCTGGGGGCCGCCTCATTAGCGGATTCTACCTTTGTAACATCTCTTACTAGGATCCATTATCTTAGTCCCATCTTTGCCTTCCAACCATTCTCTTCCTGTCCAGCCTATCCTCCACTTCACCAGGCCACTGCCAGATTTTTCTTCCTCAAATATCAGTTTGAATACCTCACTCAACCCTCCCCCGACCCCAAGCTCACTGCAGCATTATTTATGACAAACAACCTATGAAAGCAACCCACGTACCCCTCAATAGATGAGCAGATAAAAAAGCTGTGATACATATATACAATGGAGTATTACTTGGCCATATAAGATAATGAAATCATACCATTTGGGCTAGCATGGACCTAGCAGCCGTGGGCAAACTACGGCCCGTTTGAAATGAATAAAACTAAAAAAAAAAAAGACCGTACCCTTTTATGTAATGATGTTTACTTTGAATTTATATTAGTTCACACAAACACTCCATCCATGCTTTTGTTCCGGCCCTCCGGTCCAGTTTAAGAACCCATTGTGGCCCTCGAGTCAAAAAGTTTGCCCACCCCTGACCTAGAGGGTATTATGCTCAGAGAAATAAGCCAGAGAAAGACAAATACCATATGATTTCACTTATATGTGGAATCTAAAGAACAAAATAAGCAAACGAACAGAATTGAAATGGACTCATAGATACAGAGAGAGAATTGGTGGTTGCCAGAAGCAAGGGGGCAATGGGACACAGGAAGAAAGAGGTGAAGGGACTAAGAACCACAAGTTGGTAGTTATAGAATGGTCACAGGGATGTAAACTACAGCATAGGAAATATAGACAATAATATTGCAGTAACTATGTATGGTGCCAGTTGGGGTACTTGGAAATATCATGGGGAGCACTACATAAAATATGATTGTCTAACCAACACACACACACACACACACACACGAAACAGCTCGAAAACCTCCATGGACTCTCCACTGTTTTAGAATAAATGATTAATCTTTAGTTTGGCATTCAGGGCTAACTTTCTAATTTTACTTCCCAATAAACCTTGCCTGTGATGTAAACACTAGCCAAGCTTCTTGCTTTGCTGTGATGTGATTTCTCCTCTTTTTGCCTTTGTCTCTAACTGGAAAGCTATTTCTAACATATTTGCCTTAATTCTTTCCATCTGTTAAAGCCCTCAAAGGACCATTCTTCCCTGATTCTCAAGCTAGAAGTTCATTTTTCTAATCTGAACTTTCAAAGCATTTTATTTTATTTTTATTATAGTACTTACATATAGTTCATTTATATACAAATATTAGTTCCATAAACACTTAAGCACCATGTATAATAGAGAAGGGGCTTGTTCTGTCCCTTCTTTGTGCTTTTTATGGCAACTCCAGGCTCAAGTTTTTTCAGGGTCTGTGGGGCCCAGCTCCATACTTTACTAGTACATTGTCATGTGCCTGAATGAAAGAATAAAATCCCAAAGCATCTTAGCAGCATGAAAGTCCATTAAATTCCAACAGAGAAAGCAAGGTATTCTGTATGACAAGGGACAACACCATTTTTAGTTGGACATATAAAAAAAATCAGGAAGCTAAGCTATGAATATACTCAAAGTCATATAGAAGTTTAAAATGCCTCCATTACTTTTGTGGCTTAAATATAGTTTTTAATGGGAAAAAGGATATTTTGTTATAGACGCCCAGCATCTTCCTGTAGGTAAATGACTATATTTCCCTTAGTTTAGGGATTAGACAGGAGGTAGGATACCAGTAGTTAAGGGCACGAAAGATTGCTGACATGAGTTTTCAAGTCTGTAAGAATGTGCATTATATACTTGTAGTGACCATCAAAACAATAAAAAACTTAAAATGCATACTTTTTAATGTGAAGAGTTTCCTATTTCATTGGACTTAAAACACACACACACACACACACATGCCCATAAAGGCCCTTTACAGCATGTGTGCAGTGTGTGAAGAAGAAAAATCAGGTAAATAATAAAGCAAGCAAGAAAAACAAATCTAAAATAAGTCTCAAGATGACAAAAAGGTAAACGTATGGAACTAGTTTTTGCAAATAAAGTCATCAAATGCAATATAGTTTTATCTATGGAAAACATGAAACAATATTCACTTGTTAAAAGCACACTTAATTTTTATGCAATAAATTACACGTAGCAAAACAGAACTTTTGCTGGGGATATAATTCATATGTTCTCAAGCAAAGCCTTCAATTTAAAAATAGCTCAAAATTCACTGCCTCTGGTGAACAAAGTGTGTTCTCTGCTAAGTGTATGCCAACATGCCCTTTACCCAGACTTTCCCCAAGAGACAAAAAGAATTTGGTGCCTACTCAACGTTATACTTGAAATACTATTACCAAGGACCAAGTAATGTTTACCATATAAGGATATTTTATAAGCGCCAAGTAATCCTCATCAATTTACATCACTGTCCCTTATCTTTGATAAAACTCAGTATCCATTCTTTGAAGATGTTATCATTGAGACCTTTAACACTATATATTTTACAAGCTTTATTTTATACTGACAATACAAATAATATATTTTCTTCTATTATTTCCCATGTTTGGACCTTGGGAAGGCAAGGCACAGAAATACCACCATAAAACACAACTGGAAACTTCTAGCTATCAAAACAACAGAGGTTTTAAAACAGAGATGCAGGTCTAGCTGGCTTGGCTCAATAGAGCATTGGCCTGCAGACTAAAGGGTCCTGGGTTCGATTCTAGCCAAGGGCACATGCCTGGATTGCAGACTCGGTCCTCAGTAGGGGGTGTGCAGGAGGCAGCCGAGCAATGATTCTCTCTCATCATTGATGCTTCTATCTCTATCTCCCTCTCCCTTCTTCTCTGAAATCAATAAAGACATACATTTTAAAAAAAGAAAAAAAAGAAATGCAGACACCCCACCAAATAAACAGAACCAGACCCCCCCTTCCCCCCCAACCCAGGGAAAGAGATTAGGCTGAGAAAAGAAAGTTTCAAAACTAATGGGCAGAGAAAGAAAAATGTTGAAAAAATAGGAATTTAACCAAATCGGATTCATTGCGTAGAATTGTTTTAAGCCTGTTAGCTGTTACATTACAGTTCAAGCCCCTAATTTTATTGGCCAGAGTACTTTAATGCCTGAGCTAGAACCCAGCTCTCTAGGCTCATATGTAATGCTCTAGTCACACTAGTAAAGCCACTGCTTTCACACGGAGGAAGGATGCCCAACAGAGAGCTGGCACCTCATGATCACTCAGGGAAGGCTTTGGGGTGCTCTGGAGGGTGCTATGTGGTTCTGCCTTGATTCAGAACCTTCACAATGGGATGCTCTGGCGGGGACCTCCACCGCCTGCCTATGAAACGCTATGAAACGTTTGTGGAGTCAGGCTCACCTCAAGGACAAACCCCCAAGTGGCTGCAGGCAGGGCATTACCTTATAACCCTGTAAGATAGGTACTACATGTGTAGACTGAAGCATAGAGAATTTTGGTGACTTGACTAAAATCCCTAATTTTTGGCAAAACCAAGATTTGAATGGTGCCTTGTGTCCAAAGCAAACAACTTTTATCTTAAAATGCCGGTAAGTGTGCCCTGTGCCAGGGCCACAGCTACATCAGTGGCAACAGCAGGTGGCAGCTCCCCTTCCTGGTTGACGGGTCTATTCTCCTCCCCTGAGATGTGGGAACACAAGGCTTGAATCTGAGTCTCGTTTTCTCACTCCCTGGCCTGGCATTCAACCCAAGCCTCAGGTTCATTCACATCAGGTGAGAGAGCACCCATCCCCCACAGTTGCTGTGAGGCTCAAATGAAGATCCGCATAAGGGCACTTGTACAGCGTAGGTAGGGGTAAGCCCTGCCACCGTGCCAATCAGAGGGCAAACAGCACAGAAGGCCCCCGCCCTAAGGAACAGTTTTCTTCACCTTTAATGGGGAGTGAACAGGATTTACACTGTTTTATTTTTTTCTACTTGTAGTGAATTTTTATTTATTAAAGATTTATTTGGCACAGGCAATACATAGTACAAAGTTTAAAAGATTAGGAAATATTTCATCCTTTTCTCTAGTCACTCAGTGCTCTTCCAGAGGCAACCACTTCTGTATGCTGCTGGAGACTACATGATGCCAAAACGTTTCTAATGCTTTGAGGCAAAGTTAGTTACTTTGAAGGGAACACCTGAACCGGAGCATGCCTGTTCTAGAAACCAGACTAAGTTCCTGGGGGAACTGGCCCTTCGTGAGTTGTTTACCTTGTATTTTGAAAGTTTAGAAACACTGAGTAAATAATACATGCACTCTGCAAAAAACTTAAAAGTCCAAATAGTACAAGAACAGAGAAAAAGAAGTACCAAACTTTCTATCTGGTTCACCTTCCAGATGGTGTCTTTCAGAAATATTCTACGCACGTATAAGCCCACATATATATGGGTGTGTGTGCCACTGGTGTGTGTATGTGGAAGCAAACAAACACTTAGCACACATATTAAATATTGTCCAATATAGAACCATTCATTCTTTTCTGTGTATTTCACTGTATGGATACTCTGCAATTTAACCAGCCCCTCCTGATGGACATTTTAGTTTTTTTTTGTCTTTAACTATTACAAACAATGCTGCAATAAACATAATTTTCTATCTGCCTTAATATATGTTTCTGAGTCACACAGACTGGGGCATAGTTCCAGAAATAATTACTTTTTGGGGGTAACATTGGACAACTTGGTCTTAGCTTCATTATCTATAAGATGATGATAACGATAGTTCAGAGAGCTGTTATGAGGATTATGTGAGAATATTAGATCCTAATATCGTGCCCAGCAAATATCAGGTGATGAATAAATGTTTGCTCTAACCAAGGATGTATTTCCCATCTCATTTAAGGCAGTTCCTGGTTCCAAAGTCTCATATAGAGGAGATGCTCACCTCTTTTGGGTTGGCTAGTACATGGGGACATGAAAGGTATGAATGGCTAGCACCCAGGTAGCATCACTCCCACTCTCAGGTGACAGGTTCAACACTCAGCCCAGTACCCTTCTAATAGTGGCCAGTGTCTGTCTGACTCCTTATAATATCAGTACCAGCTCCACAGCCAGATAAACCGTCTGCTCTTTATGGGGACTCTGGCCAGGTCAGTGTCCTATGTCCAGAACAAAGCATGCTGGTTCCTCCCTAAATCATCCTGCTTTCCACCCACCTAACCAACTCTTCCTTACCTTTCAGGCACAGCTTCTATTCTATCTCCACTGCAACTGTTCTTAGGATTCTAATCCGCAACAATCCCAACCACCTCTGAGTCACCCTGTGCACTCCTCATTTTGGCGCTTGGCCACATGCCTATCTCTACTATTATTTAACTATTTTATCAGAGAATGTGCACTGCCTCCATCAATTTTTCAGCATTGAGGATAAGGACACAGAACATTCAAATGGTGTCACGTGTTCCTTGGATCCCCTTTCCCGTACCAGATGCTACATACTGCACTATGCACACAGTATGTGCTCAGAAAATATCCAAGAACTTGGACTCTGAACAAAAGCTCTCTCACAACTGAGTTTTTAGGAAGAGTGGAAGCAGTCATCAGCTCTGGAGCTGGCTTGTTTGACGCCTGGAAATGACAGCGCTATTACTTCCATTCTGATTCATAGGCAATTGCTGGAACAAGAGGCTCATAAGCTTTAGGAAAAGATGGGTAAAAAAAAAAATCCTCCCTTCTACCTTTTCCCTTATCTAGTCTGTAAATGTGAAGGAAATGAACTTACTGAGACTTACCTTCAGTTTCTGTGATTTGGCGTGGTATAAAACATCCTGGTAGTGCTGGGCATGCTCTGGGTCCACATCTCTAATCTTAACTGCAGGAAACTGCAGACTTTCTAGTGTCTTTAAAGGATCTCCTGCATCTATAGCTTCATTGATACACCCTACAGCCACAACTCCTGGAAAATGAAGAAAGTTTTCCTTTTAAACCACAGTACTTTATACGTTCTCTAGAATCAGCAATTGCAAAGATGGAGTTAGGAAGTGGGGTGGGAAATCCACACACACAAAAAAACCTATAAGAGCTAATAAACAAGTACAGCTGAGGCTGTGAGAGATAAGATCAGTGTACAAAAATCCATTGTATCCCTATATATTTGCAATGTGCAATCTGAAACGACAGTAAGGGGAAAATCCATATATAATAGATTCTAATTACAAATACAGCATAATTACAAAAAGAATAAATAAGAATAAATTTAACAAAAAAGCATAAGGTATGAAAGATCATTGAAAAAAAATTAAAAATGACTTAAGTAAATGGAAAAATCATCTCACGTTCATGGCTCTAAAGACTTAATATTGTTCAGATGGAACTACTACTCAAATGGATTTACAGATTCAATGCAACACCTAACAAAATCCCAGCTGCCTATTTTTTTTAACAGACATTGCCAAGCTGATTCTAAAACTCATATGGAAATGTAATAGACCAAGAATAAAATAATGCAATGTTGAAAAAAGAACAAAGTTGCCCTAGCTGGTTTGGCTCAGTGGATAGAGCATCGGCTTGTGGACTAAAGGGTCCCAGGGTCGATTCTGGTCAAGGGTACATGCCAGGGTTGTGGGCTCGATCCCCAGGGTGGGGTATGCAGGAGGCTGCCGATCAGTGATTCTCTCTCATCACTGATATTTCTATCTCTCTCTCCCCCCCTCTCCCTTCCTCTTTGAAATCTATCTATCTATCTATATCTATCTATCTATCTATCTATCTATCTATCTATCTATCTATCTCTATCTGAAGATTAGTGCATCTAAACTATAAAAAATTTTTTAAAAAGGAAAAAAAAAGAAAAAGAAAAAGTTGAAGGACTCTTCTCAATTTTGAAATTTACTACTAAAGCTACAGTTCATACTGCATTGTACTAGGGTAAGGATATACAGATCAATGGAATAGAATTTAAAATTCAGAAATAAACCTTTACAGTTATGGTCAGTTGATTTTTGACAAGGATGACAAGACAATTCAACAGGTAAATAATAGTTTTTATAACAATTGTATAACCACACGAATTAGAATGAAATTAAATTTCCTATATTATTCCATGCACAAAAATAACTCAAATGGATCACAGACCTAGAAGTAAAAGCATCTCTAATAATAAAAGCATAATATGCGCCGAAACCGGTTTGGCTCAGTGGATAGAGCGTCAGCCTGCGGACTCAAGGGTCCCGGGTTCGATTCCGGTCAAGGGCATGTACCTGGGTTGCGGGCACATCCCCAGTGGGAGATGTGCAGGAGGCAGCTGATCGATGTTTCTCTCGCATCGATGTTTCTAACTCTCTATCTCTCTCCCTTCCTCTCTGTAAAAAATCAATAAAATATATTTTAAAAAAAAGCATAATATGCTAATTAGACCAGACAGCTGAACAACCTTCCAGATGTCATTCCGGACATCCTTCGCTGCCGCAGCGGTGGCTGAGGCAGAGGCGGTTAGGGGTGATCAGGCAGGCAGGTGAGCAGTTAGGGGCTATCAGGCAGGCAGGCAGAGTGGTTAGGGGCGATCAGGAAGACAAGCAGATGAGCGGTTAGGAGCCAGCAGTTCCGGATTGTGAGAGGGATGTCCAAGGGATCCCATATTGCGAGAGGGTGCAGGCCGGGCTGAGGGACACCCGCCCCCGTGCACGAATTTCATGCACCAGGCCTCTAGTGAACTATAAAATTCTTGGAAGGAAACATAGGAATAAATCTTTGTGGCCTTGAAGTAGGCACTACTTCTTAGCTATGACACCAAAACCACAAACAACAAAAGAAAAATTGAAATGCATGGGATGTTATAAAACTTAAAACTTTTGTGCTTTAAAGGACACCATCAAAGAAAATGAAGACAACCTACAGAATGGGAGAAAATACTTACAAGTCCTGTATCTGATTAAGGACTTGTATACCTTCTACACAGGTAGGCCACATATACAAGTAACTCTTACTATTCAAAGGAAAAAAGAAAATCCAATTTAAAGTGGGTAAAGGACTTGAATAGACATTTCTTTAAAGATGGTACACAAATGGCTAATAAGCACATGAAAAGATGCTCAATATCATTAGTTATTAGCAAAAAGCAAAACCCAATCCCAATGAGATACCACTTCATACCCACAAACCATAACAGGTGGTGTGAGGATGTGGTGAAACTGGACATACATTGCTGGTGGAAATGGAAAATGATACAGTCAGTTCCTTAAAATAGTAAACACAGACCACCATATGATCCAGCAGTTCCACTTCTTGGTATGTACTCAAGGGAACGGAAACCATATGTTCACACAAAAGCTTAACATGAATATTTACAGAATGAGTATTCATAATAGCTAAAAGTAGAAACAACCCAAATGTCCATCAACTGATGAATGAATAAACAAAGTGTCTACCCATAGAAAATATTATTTAACCTAGGAAGGAATATGAAGTATACTGAAATGTGATACAACATAGATGAACCTTGAAAACTTTAGGCTAAGTGAAAAAAAAATTAGACACAAAAGGCCACATATTACATGATTTTATTTATATGAAATGTCAAGATCAGGAAAATCCAGAGAAACAAAGTAGATTAGTGGATTAAGGGATGGGAGGTGGGGATATTAATGGTATGAAGCTTCTTTTTGGGGTGATGAAATGCTATGAATTTAGATAATGGTGAGACAACAAGATGGTGGTGAAGTAGGTGGAGGTTCACACTCACCTCCTCCCAGCACCAGATCAGATTGCAGCTAAAGTACAGAAAAATCAACCGGAATAACCATCTGAAGACTAGCTGAACAGGAGTCTTATAACTGTTATACAACTTTCAAATACATAAAAACAATAAAAAGGTAAATGTTATGGTATATGAATTATGTCTCAATGAAGCTGCTATAAAAAGGGGGTCAGCTTTACATACAAGTAGCAGCAGGAATGCTAATTTCTAAGGCAACCCTCACTTAGACAGTGGATGATGGAGTCATAGAATACCAGTGCTGGAAGAATTTAATGTAGAGATATACAAGGAAAAAAAAACTGAAATGCAAAAACATTTGGATATATATTCTATTCTTTGGATTATTCTACTTCACCACTCTGTAAAAAATGCCAAAACAGAGAGTTCCAAAAGCAAACAATTCCCTACAGTGTTAGAGTGAATTTCCAGGTCAACATAGTCCCAACGATGTTCAATGGAATGTTCTGTGACGATGGAAATGCTCTGTATCTGGGCTTTTCAATAGAGTAGCCATTACCCACATGTAACTATTAGGCCATTAAAATGTGGCTAGTGTAAGTGAAAAACATAATTTGAAATTTTATTTAATTTCAGTTAAGATACCCATACTTTCTTGGAAGTATAGGAAAGCTCCATAGTCATGCATGTTTGGGGATATTGTTAAGGTTCAAGGATGGCTATTGAATGCCATTGTTTCAGTAATGTCACCTGGTAAGATAACACCTGGAGCCCTAAGTCTTGGAGGTACTAAGGGAAGAATAAGCATTCCACCAGTTTAACCTTCCACTATCTCTACCTTAGCATAGGATCTTAGGACATAGACTATAAGGTCCAGGAATGGAAAACACAGAAACCCAGCTATGGAATCTGGAGAGTTTTTGAAACTAGCAAAAGGGATCCATTTGGAGGTCATTTCTCAATACTGCCTTGTTATTAAAAATAAACTATCAACTAGTCTTATAAAACTATAGTGTATGTACAAGTATGTGTATATATGTGTATATAAACATTGTACACACATACATATATACTAACAGGGGGCGTTTGCTTCCCAGCTTAGTGCTGATGGACAAGAACTACTACAAAACTTAAACATAAACAAGCAGCAAGCTTAGAAAATAAACATTCTTAAAGCCAAACTTATTACTTCTTATTTTGTCAGTTACATATCTTTCATCCAAAACAATCACAATTCACTTTAAAAATGTGATATGCTATGAAACAGAATACGTACTATTAATTTTTAATGAGTATCTGCATCTTGAGATATTTGAAATTAAAGTAAAATACTCAGCTAAGTATCCCCCAAATAGATGACTCCATAAATACCACCTTGCTAAGAATGGAAACAATTATCTGGAGGATGGAAGGGACAATCTAAAATGATTAGAAATTATTCCTGATTATAGTACGTACTTAAATATGTTTGAAGAAAAAGTAAAAGTACTTTCCTAACATGCAAGTTACATTATCTCAAAACGTTGGAAGAACTCAGGAAAGTCTAAGCACTATCTATATACAAGGTATCATCATTTAAAAAAGATCCTCACCTGAGGATATGTTTTTTTTAATATATTTTAGAGAGAGAGAGAGAGAGAGACAGAGAGAGAGAGACCAGTAGGTTGCCTTCTGTATGTGTCCGACTGGGGATCAAACTCACAACCTTTTGGTGTATGGAACAACACACCAACCAACCAAGCCACCTGGCCAGGGCAAGGTATTATCATTTACCCTGTTGCAGTTATAAACTGGAGAGCACAGACTACTTCATTTCATTCTCTAGACACCTACCTTGGGTAGACCGTTCTAAATACTTTTAAACACCCCATCCAAAAAGAATCGGAATGACACTGTAAGAATGTGTGTTCCCATTGGCTGCTCACCTGAGGATGAGTGCATGCCAGCTGACTTGATTGAAATCACCTGCTTAAGTTTTGTTTGGCATGTTTCTAAGACTCAAGCTGCTGAGGTCATAGTAAATGACCTCATAGGAGCTGAAAGACCTACGCAGCAGACCCCCCCCCCTCACCCCCCAGTGCATCTGTATCACTGCCTCTGTTTATAAATCCAGGGGAAATCCCATTTTAACAAAGATTGCTGAGCCTCACTCAGTTCATGGCCCACTTCCTTAAGTCATCGTGTGAGACCATAACATCTCGCACGAGAATGTGGGCAGAATGAGGGAGTGGGCAGAAATTCTCTTTTAGAGGTTGTGTATTTGAGACAGCAGAGGAGGTACCCTACAAAGAATGGTACCTACCAAATGTAAAAAGCAATTCAAAGAAGAAAACTTCCTTGTCTCCGCTACATAAATGCTCCTCTGGGGCTCTACGGGGAACAGTGAAATTTCTAGTGAGAAACCAAGAGAGCATCCAAGTCTAAGAAAATGCATTTAGCAGCTTCTCCATTAAATTCGCCTTCTACATTTATCACTTCCCATTAGCTGCATACCTTATCCACATCACAAATCAGTGAAAGGATGAGACCTGAGAGCACGTGGCAGGGGTGGGCTGGGGAGAGTAAAGCACTTTCAAGATGTCCATGAAAAATTCTCAGTGTTTTCAGATGATTTAATTACTATACTGTATCATTCCTGCCATGGAATACACAATGGTGTATTTTTAAACTTTAGCTTTTTAAGCAATCACCTAAATATATGCTATCAAGCTCAATACTTAACTTTAAAAATACCTCATTTTGACAGAATAACAGAACAAGCCAAAAGAAAGAAATTAAATGTTCTGTATTAAACTCCCCAAATACTAGAAAGGAAATATGATATAGAATATCTAAAATAACTCTGCTGGTTATTGCATGTGCCCTTCATGACAAGATGTTTAAAAGAAATATGATAGTGGCCATGTGACATATCTCAAGGAGAATGACAGTATTCCAGTTTAACTAGATAAATGTCATACCAACCCAAAGAGATTTTTCTTTAAAAATGATAACCACCTACAAAAGACCTCTCTCTTTTGAAGTTATACACATGTTACTTTTCCCCCCTTTTCCTGATAAAAGTAAAGGCTCTTAAGATATTCTGGGACAAAAATGGCGTTCCCCCCCTTTGTAAAATCAAAGTCAAGAATGAGAGTAAAACTACAATTGTTCATCACTGAGAACTCACACACCTTCACTTGCATAAGCAACACACACTACAATCACCAAAGCAGAACTGGACTTCAGGTATTGTCAGAAAGAATTGGGGAAAAGTTATGGAATACTATTCAGCTGTAAAAAAAGAGATCTTACCTTTTATGACAGCATCGATGGACCTGAAGAGTATTACATTAAGTGAAATAGGTCAGAGAAAGACAAATACCATATGATCTCAATTATATGTGCAATTTAATAAACAAAAATAAATGAACAAAACAGAAACAGACTCATAGATACAGAGAACTACTGACAGCTGTCAGAGGGGAGAGGAGTTCGGGGACTGGGTGAAAAGGTGAAGGGAATAAGCAAAAAAACTCCCAAGATACCTCATAGACACAGGCAACAGCGTGGTGATTACCAGAGGGAAAGGGGGGTGAGGAGAAGTTGACGAGGGTAAAGGGGGATAAATGGTAAGGGGAGGAGCCTTGATTTTGGGTAATCCTATCTAATAAAAGCCTAATATGCTAAGTGTCTGGTCATCCAGTGACTGGTTGACTGTTCAACCAATCAAAGCGTAATATGCTAATGATATGCTAAGGTTGCTCAACCACTTGCTATGATGTGCACTGACCACCGGGGGCAGACAGTCGACTGGTCAACCAGTCACTATGATGTGCACTGACCATCACGGGGTAGATGCTCCAACTGGTAGGTTAGCTTGCTGCTGGGATCGAGCCTATCGGGACTGAGCGAGTGGGGCCAGCCACTCCCTGGAGTCCTCCCGCGGTCCCTCCCTGGCCCCGATCCTGCACTGGTGGGGTCCCTCGGCCTGGCCTGTGCCCTCTCACAATCCGGGGCCCCTCGAGGGATGTCGGAGAACTGGTTTCGGCCTAATCCCGCAGGCCATTCCCCAGGGGAGGGTGCCAGACACAGGGCTATGGTTGGCGAGCACTGCTGCAGGCGGTGCAAGCCTCTCCTGATCGGGACTGATTGGGTGCAAGCCCGAGGCAGGTGCAGTGGGGCCGGAATGAGTGGAAGCGGCAGGTAGGAGCTGCAGGCAGCATTGAACTGTGGGTTTCGGCTTGATCCCCACAGGCCACCCCGAGGTACCCCACACATGCACAAATTCGTGCACCGGGCCTCTAGTGAATATATAATACAATATGCAGATAATGTATTATAGAATTGTACACTTGAAATCTTTATAATTTTAATAACCAGTTATCCTAATAAATTCAATAAAAAAAATTTTAAGAGTGAAAAAAATAAAGAATTGGGAAAAAGCTAGAAAACAAAGATGAGACATGATTGTTTATTTTGCCTACCCAAAGAGTCCATCCTTGGGTGGCATTAGCCAAAGCACTCAAACCATTGGAGCAGGAGACGCCAAGTGCTGTAGCTGGGGATCAAGGAGGAAGGCTGAAAGGCAGAGGGCTGGGGCACTGAGCTTTGTAACAGGACACAAACACCAGGGTTTTGTTTTGTTTGTTTGAAAAATATTTTTTTTATTAATTTTGTAGAGGAATGGAGAGGGAGAGAGAGAGAGAAACATCAAATGTGAGAGTGAAACATGGATTGGCTGCTTCCTGTACACCCCCTACCAGGGATCAAGCCCCAAACTGGGGCATGTGCCCGGATGGGGAATTGAACCAGCAACCTTTTGGTGCACAGGACGATGCTCAATCAACTGAGCCACCTCAGCCAGGGCTGCTGGTTTTTATGATGGAAAAAACTGCTTAAAGCTTGAATTTGGTAATTCATGCTACAGAAATTAGTGAATAACTGATTGCTAAAGTTACACAGCTCCTTATTCCCCACTGTTTTTATATGCAAAAGGAAAATGATAAGGAAGCAGCTGACACTCAAGAAAGCATGTTTCAGGGCATATCCTCTTGGGACTGCCCACTTTTCATGCTCATAGTTCATAATTTCTAGAAACACAACAAATCACCATGACTTCTGATTATAAGGCGACAGTTAGATTATGTTCCAATTTCTTCCAAGGGCAGGAACATGTGTCATATTTCAGGAAAATGTCCAAATGCAAGTCAAAATAAAGTTGAGTGCCTAAACAACTGAGTTATGTAGAGCAGTCAACTGTGAAGTACCAATAAATAAAAATTATTAGGACCTCTATGTATGGTTGTTGTTGTATTTTTTTCATGTATAGGGCATAATGTCACAGGAAGGTCATAGCATCCTGCCACCCGTGAGGAGTAAGCCCATGTTGCTGTTGGATGTGTTATACACAGAGGAGCCATCCTTCAGGCGCTCTGCTCTCTACACACCCCACTTACATGTATTTTTAGTCTGTCCTTTCATGTCTTTTTATATATTTTTATAATGTTATAATATGTTGGTACAGTAGTATAAGCATATAATTTACATATAAATACATACATACATGTTAGAGGAGTGTGCTTTCATAGGGCTCCATGAGCAAAATTTGTAGCCCTAGAGAAGTTGTTGAGACACCTTATTTTCCCACTATCCTAGAGAAAAAAAGTATTCCATACTTACTGTCATTTTCTTCTTGAATTTGAATATTAACCATATCAATACAATTCTGAATTTCATTCCAGCTTAAGGTCTCTTGCCCTTGGGACAAAACGTCCAGTTTAATGGAGAGTAGTTCATCTGCATAACTGTGGAAGAGAGAAGGATCATGATACTAATAACAAAGAGACATTCATTCTTTGTTCAAGATATGCCTCTTATATGAGGGGCCAAAAGTGTTTGTTAGGAGGTGAGACAAAGAGTAGAAAGACAACTAAAACTGTGGCGTGCAGCTTTGTCAACATACAAGCTCACGTATACGAATGGTGTTCTTTTTCTTAGAAATACTTTATGTACAAATGCTGTTTAATGAAAGTTCCTCAAAACCCAGCTTCGTACCTAACTCAAGCAAAACAAAACAAAAATAACTTCGATGTCCTCAAGCCTGTGATTTTGCTTTTTGTCTAATTACTAATTTTCTTCCCTTTTGCACATCGTGGCTCTAAATGACCATGGCCCTCAACCCTTCTATCAAGCGTTCTTTTTATTACTCTTGTTCCTCCCACAATGTGAGCTGTAAGAGTCCTTTCTACTGTAACCCTAACATAGCTGGGTTACCCTGAGATTTAATATGCCTATTGAGGAATCAAATAAAATGCAAATGTAGTTCCAGAAAACCCTGCTAAATGACACACATCTTCACTATATGTTTTCTTGAAGAGGTGGTGCATGAGTTGAATCAGAATATTTTAAAGTTCCTCCTCACCTGTCCATTGCTCCTAAGGCTTCAGAGCAACTACTCAAAACCCTTGTGTCCCCTCCCTGCCACAGCACTCTCACACCTCAGTCCTGGCCCCTGACCCTCCTCACTCAGCAGAGTCCTCTGGAAAACAGAGTTTGGCTAATCACTCCAGTTATTTTTCTTATCTGGAGAAATTTTAGAGGAAAAGACACCCATCTTGATATATTACTAAGGAACTCTCATTTCTCAATAATCAATTTTCCTATTTAAAATTTATAGAACCAGTGTTAGATCCATAAGCTAACAGGAGCCAGTCTAGCCCAAAGTAATGACATGCAATAGTTTAGCTGGCTTTTGCATTACTCCAGGGAAATAAAGACCAATCCTCTATGTGCCTATTGATTTACTATGCAGTTTGACTTCTGAATAGCACCTGCAGATTTCCTAACAGAGGTTAAAGAATGAACATTGCATTAAGCCTAAAACTGTTTTCTTGTTGTGACAAATTTTCTTAAAGTTTTGCATGCCTCTGCCTGAATCTTTCATTGGGCTCCTTATTCCAGCCCCTTAACCATGGACCACCGGTTGGCGACCACTGCTCTAGATGACACTGAGGTGTCTTCCACGGAGTAGCTTGAGAGAGAAAAACATCATTCAAAATAGGAAGCAGTGGTGATGATGCATTATCTGTCGCCGAATGAGACATCACCAGATGCAGGCCTGAAACTGGTTAACTGTCACGTGTGAGATTTTCCCCTTACCAAGAATTATAAGCCTACGAAGATACTCTGCGTCACTAGTAACATATAATACTGAGCATAATAAAAATATGGATAAATGGCAACTCCCACTAGTTAGCATCCCTTCTAAAAAAGAGTGCAGAATCCTTGTGGGTATCTCACATGCTTAATATCTAAATGATAGTCCAGTGGGAATAAAATGAGGAAAAACACAGAAAAAAAAACCGGCAATCACCCATCATTTCTTTAGCAATGAACCAACACTAGTCAAAGGGAACCGATTTTAGGGGTAAGACAGAGCTTTGCAGGCTTTTCCATCTGAGAGTTAAAGGTATGAACTCTGGAACGTGCTCTGTGGCTTACCCCACCTCTCAGAGCTCTCCTCACCATCTTCCATGAGCCAACTAGTAACATTGTATTTCTAACAGACTTGGGAAGTTTTGAGATTAAAATTCCAATTGAGTTCAGCAAATGTTTATTAAGCACACACTATACATAAAATATGTTGCAGGCATCACAGGGATATTAAAATGAACAAGATGCAGCCTTTATACTTCAAGGAGCTTCCAGTCTAGTGGATAAGACAACAAAAACTCCAAGGAAGTTTTTCACTAAGAAGAATAAAAAATTTATTTTTGGTTCCAAGATTGTGTTTCTCTCCACATGATGCTAATTCTCAGAAGATATGATATGACATTAGCGGGGGTGGGGAGAAGCATGGAAATATTCATGGACGTATAGTAGGCAGGGCCTGTAAGCTCCAATACTGTGTCAGCAGACAGGTATGTTCCTGGTGGTGAGAGGAGCGCACATAGGGGGAGACAGCTAGAAAGTACAGCGTGTTTGGATCCAGCTTGGCCGATGGGCAAAATGCAAGGAAAGATGCAGCTGCAGCTAAGGGCAGAACACGTTTAGAGTGAGTCTGTTCTTAATTCAGACGAGAACTGGGAACACTTAAACATAGCAGCATTGTAAAACCAGATACATTTTAGGACATTTAGTCTGGGAACAGCACATGCCTAGAGCCATGCCAATCCTACATCACTTTTTTGAGAATTAGACAAAAGAATCTTTCTGGGAAAACACAGTACCAAGGGCGGGGGGATGGAGAGCCACAATAAATAGCTACAGACTCTGTAAGAATTCATCCAGGCGGCCATGCCCGTACTCTTGTGCTATGAACTTGCACAGCCATAGGGAGTGGCCCAGACCCAGCAACGTTTCTTAAACGTGAAAACCTGTAAACCGGACTTCCAAGAACTTGGGTGAAAAGCTGACACTAAAAGTGAACTGCTGAGGCTATGGCAGCTCCCTGAGGCCAATGCAACTGTCAACACAAGAACCAAAGTGGGCCCTGAAACGCAATCGGTATTGGGTCGTCCAGGTGACCCAGAAAATGCTTAAATAAAAAAGAATTTTTATTCAGTGTTTAAGATTAAAAACTATAAGATTTTGCTTGCAGCTGATGAGCGGAAAGAGAAAAATAAACCATTAATCACCTGACTGGCTAGTTAAAACGCTCTAACTTAGAGTCAAATTACTCCGTGCCATACTAGTTACTTCGTGTGGACTTAGGAGTTCTGGAGTAAAATAGCTCTAAACAAAACGTATTATCTGAGAGCAAAGGGCCAATGGATATATGAAATACTGAATAAGAAATCTGATAAAGGGAGGTTGTGGCAGCTCTTTTGATTCTTTTAGGTTTCTAGCAGTTGGTTACTATATGCAACTGAGTTACTATAGCAGTGAGTTACTTTATCTCTTGACTTGTCTGAGTTAAACAACTTTAACCCACTAAGCAGGAATAAAGAGACATTTTATAGATTGGTTAGAAGACATAAAGCAGTCTCACTTCTCCAGTAGAATTTTAGTTTAATTAAACCATATAAGAAACAATGATCATTGCACCTAATGTACTTGTCACACCACACCTGTTGAGTAGAATTTCCATCACAAATGTTTTCATCTTCACCATCATCTTGAGTCCCTCAATCTATGTATCTTCCCCTCCTTTTAAAAAAAAAATCTTCCCCCATTTCTCAAGCACTCTCCTTCTGATGGTTTCCCCTGAATTGCTAGCCAATGCAAGGGTTGAAGGTTCCCAAGATGCTGTTCTCACTGAGATCCATGCAGAGGAAGGATTACTGAACAAGAAGTTGCTAATCAACCCCCAGATGGCAAGGAATGGCAAAATACTCTCCCAACAGTGTTCAAAAGTCTGCACTGGAAAATGTACCAGGGATGTAGCTGGCCTTCTTACTGGGCAACAGTACCACTGAAGCACTGGGGGCAAGTTTCACATCCAATAAATTCTTTTTATACACTTCTTTGGTAAATTCTTTCCTGGGAAAATGGTTGCTAATGAAAAATTACAATAAATGTTGCCAACAGCCTGTGCAGCAAACTGCCTTTCCTCTTCTAGAGGAGCCTCAGAAGGGAACTGATTTGTAAAGAGAGAACCACCAGAAAGATGGAATTGAATTCTTGCAACTTTGCTTCCTTCTCTTGCAGAAGCGTCCCTCTTAACTTCCATTTCAGCCTGTGTAGCCAGCAAGGCAGCAGCGTTAGCAGCTTCTACTTCTTCCTGTGTACTTGGAAAATGAGTAGCTCTCTGCACGGTCCAATGCAATCTGATGTTTTGTACGCTCTCAAGCTGCCCTATCTTCTTTCTGACGTTTTCGTTTCTATCCTCGAACATTCTTTTTGCTAATTCCTCTTCTTGCTTTCTTTTATACTCCAACATTTCTTTTCCAGTTTTTCTCCTCTCAATTTCCTTCTTAACCTCTCTCTGTGTTCTTCCTCTTTCCTTCTCTCTTCTCTTCCTTTCTTCAAGTGTCTGGGTTGGTCTTTGCTCTGGCAGTGAGGTCCTCCGCTGGTCTCTGATGTGAACACCCACTAGGTCCTGAGACGGAAGGGCATGTCTGGATCTTTCTCCTCCTGTTGCAGAATCTGACTTTGTAGCAGAAGCGGGTGGTGTCTCATAAAGCTCCCCATTTCTGGACTGAGAGTTTTCAGAAGTGTTGTTAGGTTTGAATGAGGTGGACGGAGTAGAGACTGAACTTGTTGACTGGCTGCCATCTGCCACTGAAGTTTCTCCTTTTAATGAGTGCATCTGCCGGACTTTGAATTTTGGTAAAAAGTTCATCTGCAGAAACACTTCCTTCTATTACTGCCAAGGGAATTCTACTGTCTCCAATAAAGAGACTAGGTGAACCAGCCCATGTGGCTCAGTGGCTGAACACCAATCCATGAACCATGAAGTCACTGGTTCGATCCCGGTCAGGGCACATGCCCAGTTCCCGGCTTGATTCCCAGTGGGGGGCGGGGGGGGGACATGCAGGAGGCAGCTGATGAGATGATACTTTTCTCTCCTCAATGTTTCTCTCTAATCCTCTCCCTTCCTCTCTCTAAAAATCAGTTAAAAACACTTTTTTAAAAATAAAGAAACTGGGTGGAATACATACTAGAGAATAGATTTGTGAAAATTGTAGGTAGGCTTTACTTTTGGTACTGACTTTAATAGCAAAAAGCTGTTTGAAGATGCTTTTGTCACTTTCTCATCTTCCCAACTTGCAGCCATCACTTCCCATGAACACCACGAAGATTGCACGCTCCTCTTGGCCAACAGGATGGCGGCCAGGATGGCGCCCTGGAACCACAGCATCCTCCACTGGGCCTAGGTGCTCACTGCATGTGCTGTCCCCGTGGTCCCGGAGTTGGCCCTCCCTCCCCTTTTCCCCTTCATGGGACCCCGCAGCTCTCCATCCCACCTCTCCACCTCGCTCGGCACAAACGCAAACCCGTCAGTGGCCTCCTGGGACACGTGCAAGTGCAAGTGGGAGAGCTAGGAGTGCGCCTAGTCACGTGACGCCACACACCAGGGTTGGCAGCAAGCTCCCTCAAAAAATTTTAAAAATATTATTAAAACATACAGAATACTTGAACTCTGAGGCTGAGGCTGTATCTTTAAGACCTAGTTGAAAACCACAGGTGTAAAAGTGGTTCTCAAATGGAATGTGGGACTCCTTCCTCAATGGGTTGTCAATTGGAATAGGGAAAGAGAAGATTTTTGAAAATCAAAATGGGTGATTGGAGGGAGGGGGGACTGTCCTTTAGAGGGCGTGGCCAGGGATGCTAAATCTGTGGGACAGCCTTGACAATTCTCTCAGCCAGATTCCCCATGAGTGCCCCATTAGGCTGTTAGGCTTCATGAGGGAGTGACCAGCTCTGTCTTCTACTCCAACACTAAGAGAGAGCAGAGCAAAGCCTGGTTAGGTAAGAATAGGGACAGATAAGATCTAGGAAGACCAATCTGGAGGTTATTATATATAGAAGCAAAAGTGAAAACGAGGTGGTCGCTGGGAAACGGGGACACTTTGCAGAGGTATTGCACACAGATTGGATACTGACAGGGAGAGAAGTGAGTGGGCTGTTTACAGCAGGAGGCTGCCTGGCAGAGGGCAGGGGAAAACTCAAGCTGAACTTGAGGTTTCTAAGCGTGGAAGAGCGGGTGGTGTCATGAACAGAAACAGTAAAAATAGTAGAAATAAATTACCTTGGAAAGAGACTCTGAGGCATAATGAACCAGGAGGCCAAATGTATGTAGTGTAAGAGCACCAGTTTCTCCAAAAAGACTAAAAACAAGGAAAATCCAGTGTCTTCCTACTTTTGGGCCATTCTCTACATAGACAAGTGGTCAAACACCAAGTTAAAAAAATTTTGTTTCCTGTACAACTATATTGACTCAGGAGAATTACTCAACCTTTCTATTTGAGCAGTTCCAGAAACAATAGTTGAAGAGTTTTGTCAAGATCTAAGCAGACATCTCCCCCTGGTGGTCACAAGGATGGAAAATCACTTGGTTTTTTATTTGGGCTTTTGTCTGCCTGAATCTTTCATTGGGTTCCTATTCCAGGCCCTTAATGTTCTCTCTGGATTTGCTCTAGTGTTTTATAATACTGTTGATTGTATTATCTAGTACCATATTTAAGGAACATGAAATGAAAAATACTAAACTGAGATTGTTACCCACTGCCATGGTCCACTGTGGTCTCAGCATTCCTTTGGTTTAACCACCAGAAAAATGAGACTTGGGGCCCAGTTGCCAAATTTTGGGTTGATAAATCCAGATTCAGTTTCCTCATCAGTAACATAAAGAGAATTGAACCAGATGATTATTAAGGTTCCTTCCCACTTTTCTATATATTGTCATCTCCCAAAGAAGCCCAAAGGAAGGTATGGAGAAAGTATGTTTTCAACATTTCTTGCATTTTTAGCCTATCAAATAATCTTTGCTAATGAGAAAGTCAGTCAGCAATTGCCATAGGATGATCATTTTTAGACCTCTGCTTCACTAAAAGGAAGAATGTACAGAAGGGACTATAATATTACACTCTTAAAACAAAGTAGACTAACTTTCAAGAAAATGAGCATGGCTATATGGATTTCCTCAATAAGTAACAAACCCTTTATTTGTGAGATCTGCAAACATACATTTCTGCGTTGAGAAGAGTTTTGGAAAACATCTTACCGTTCAACATACGTCTCGTCCAGATTGTTGAAGCCTATTGCTGGGCTTTTAAGTTGATTCTGCACAGATACCAGGTCCTTGCTGTCCAAGGCCTGGTTTAGTAAAGCAACAGCAGACAGCATTTCCACCGCAATCAAGAGCTCCTCGTGGGCCAAGTAGTTCTGTCGGGAAACATGGCAGTAAGTTCACACACCTTGTGGGCGTGATGGGGGTTTAGAATGCACATTTCAAAAAACGATGAAAAGTCAAAGATTTTTGAGAAAAAGAGCTCAATGGTCACCTATTCTTCACCGACTTTAAAGAAGAAGTAAATTGGCTTCCGGGATTTTCTTAGGTGGTTTTGGCAACAGAGTTCATTACAACCAACATTTATGATTCAGAAAACAACTGCATTCCCATAGCTGATGCCTGCTCCCAGCTGTACTGGCTGCTCACAGGCTCAGTCTCATCAAATAATTAAGCCAAGCATTAGAGAATGCTGTCACTGTCTGAGAGTGTGAGGTAAGATTTTAGGATAACTAATGATTTCCAATTTGAATTAAGGGTAAGGAAAAGAGGATAGAATTACACCTAAAAGTTATAGCCCCAGAAAACTAAATAAAAATATTTAAGGTAAGAATATTGATTCCAGCTTCAAAAAGTTAGTCACATATTTATAATTAGGTAAACATTTTAAAATGTACTATAACATCTAGGTGTTTAAAGAAATGTGAGGTTTATCTTTTGGCAAAATAAATAAGAATCTCCAGATTTACAAATCTGAATTTGGTTTATTTAAAAAGTACATCTTAGATTTTAGAACACTTTTCCTCTTCAATTTTATCTTCCATTTAACCATTTTATACTAACTTGGCCTAACTTCCAAAAAGTTATTTCTTCCATATATTGAAGGAACACAAAGGGAGCATAAAAATGAATTAATAAAAAAAATCTGATATATATCTTTACATCTAGGATATTATATGTATTTTATATGTATGTAATATTTATATTATAGATTTCTGAATATCCACAGAAATCTTGCAACAAAATGATTTTAGAGTAACAAAGCATAATTTTCCCTTCCAAAGCAAATGGGAAGAAAAGGTTATTATAGGGAACATGTAACTAAATTTTATCTAAATATCTTATATTAACTATAAGTTTAACACATAGGGAAAGTATAACATTACAAGTAAAGGGTAGAATGGAATAATTTGAGATTCACCTCTTTTACCCTTTCAAGTGAACTACCCACAAATATCTAAAGTGGTACACAACAAAAATGATAAGGAAAGATAAAGAAATAGTCATTAGTTGACTATTGACCAAATGGGGATGAATGACTGTGGTAGAGTTCCAGTAGCCTTGGGCTTCAAAGCTAGAGAAGTAGCAGGAAATATTAATGCAATATGAGGAAATAACCTATTTTTCTTTTATTTTAAAATAGCATCTTTTGCCCAGCTGGTGTGGCTCAGTGGTTGAACACTGACCTATGAACCAGGAGGTCATGGTCCGATTCTGGTCGGGGCACATGCCCAGGTTGTGGTTGTGCCTAGGTTTCGGGCTTAATCCCCAGTTAGGGGGCATGTAGGAGGCATCTGATCAATGATTCTCTCTCATCATTGATGTTTCTATCTCTCTCTCTTTCCCTTCCTCTCTCTGAAATCAATAAAAAATATATTTAAAAAATGTATATTTAAAAAAGTAGAATCTATTTAGAAAACATAGGAAGTCTTAATAAGCAAGTCCTACCACCCCAGTCCTTTAGTATATGTTCTTCTATTTATTTTTAATTTATGCAAACATTTACAGAG